GTCATTGTAGATAGGTTCTCAAAGTATGCTATGTTCATTCCTTTGCCTGCCAAAGCTAAAACAAAACTGGTCATCCAAAAGTTCCAGATGCGATGGGTTTCTGACTATGGATTCCCGAAAACCATTGTCTCTGACAGGGATGTCCGGTTCACTAGTCTGCAATGACAAAAGTTGATGGAAGTCTATGGCACCAGGTTGACCATGTCGTCAGGTAGACATCCTGAAACGAATGGCCAAACTGAACAAATGAACCGTCTGTGCCAACAACTTTTGCACATGTATGTCCGGCCCGATCAAATAGATTGGGATGAGAACTTACCTAAGATAGTTAGTGCTTATAATAATAGTATACATACTGTTACGGGTAGAACGCCTAATGCATTGCATAAAGGATGGAAGCCTTGACGTCCCATCGATGCTTTGACTAGGGACCAAATTTAGAGGCTACCCCTAGGAACTCGTGAATTCGCAGTTTTATCTAAAGAAGATAGTAAGAAGGTAAAAGAGAATATACAGAAAGCCCAACTTCAAATGACTGAGCAGACCAACAAACATCGTCGACCATCGAAGTTTCAAGAAGGAGATCTGGTTTGGGTGAAGTCTAAATCATTTGCCTGGGAAGAAAACATATCTCAAACACTGCTGCCTGTATACTATGGTCCCTGGGAAGTTCTCAAGGTAATTGGGGATGCAGATGGACCTTCCTATAGAGTAGATGTTCCCCCACACCTATGGACCTACCCTGTTTTCCATGCGTCTACACTGCTTCCATATGTACACAGAGATAACTTTCCTAATAGGCCATGTATGTTTCCACCTTCCATGAATGGAGGATACGAAGTTGAGAAGATTCTGGAACATGGCTATTTTTCTACAGGTGGCAGAGGAATAAAACCAGTACAAGGTAAAGTTCAAGTCTCAACCGCCGTCTGAAGCCAGATGGTTTAGTAAGAAAGAACTCTTAGCTACTGCTCTTGACATTGTTGCTGCATACAAACATGGGTTAAAGAAATATTGATGTCTTTTCTGCGATGAAACTCGAAAATTGGGCCGGCAGGAATGCAATAACCCATGCCGTATGCCTCGTGGAAAGTCTAAGGGCCTTGCCAGGCCACTCAGACCCAGGCCGAAGGGGAAAAAGAACCCCACATAAGGATTCAGGGCCTGGGCAAGTTACAGTTGACTAAAGTCAACTGTCGGATCGCAACAGTCAAAGTCAAAGTGTACCCAGCCCAGGCCGCCGGTCAGACACATACACTTGTTTGTATGTAGGTACCCAGACAGCATCAGGACCAAGGGGAAAATCTGCAACTGTACAATCCAGGCCCTTGGCTGTGAGTCAGTCTGCACGACTGTGACCTGAGGCCGACAGCCTCGTCAAACACTACTTAAAGCTTGGTCTCCAGGGGGTCAACATTCAGTCTTGCTATGCTGCTTTGACGCTGGCTCGACTCTGACTGGACACTGGCATTGATGCTGGCACGACGCTGGTGAGACGCTGGCTTGACAGTGGCTGTGCGCAGGCACTGTGGACGTCGATGCGAGACTGTGGCAGCATGCTGGCGCTTTCTGCTTTGCGTGCCAGGCATTGCTGATGTGGCGCTGCCACCTGTCTACCTGGCTAACATGGTGTATGCCACCTCTCTACACTGCTGATGTGGCGCAGGCCACGTGTCTACATTGTTGATGTGGTTCTGCCACCTGTCTACATTGCATTGCTGATGTGGCGCTGCCACCCGTCTTCATTGTTGATGTGGCGCATGCCACCTGTCTCTTCTGCTGACGTGGCACTGGCCACACTGTCTACATGAGGTGACCAGTTGCGATAAGGAGAAAGATCGGGATCTGTGGACGATCGAGGGAAATGATACTTACCTGAGGCTGACGTCGATATTGTATGCTGCTGGTTGTATTCATTGTCTCCATGGAAGAATAGTGCCACGTGGCACTTCTATGTGATCAGGACTTATCAGACTTGTTACTGTTTATTGATTGTTGTCGTGGAGGGAGAGGAAGCCCGGAGAAGGAGTGGGATTGGTTGGGCTACTTTTGTGTGGTCATTGATTATCTCTCCACCCTCTCCTTTGTCTATCCTCCCTCCACTCTTTTCGTCTATTGGTAACAGAATACTGTATCAGATATCACTTCACATTAACTGGAGACTTTGTGCAGATTTGAGACTACCTGAACTTTGATGTCTGATGAGTATCTTCCAGACAGGGTTCATTACAGACTTCTTCCTCCCAACCTCAAGCTCACAGCTATGGCGCAGGCCTGCGCCCAACCTATCAAGCCCATCAAGCGCCAGCAACCCTCCTGAACCCGACATGCCACTCAACAGTCCAAACTCGATGCCCACTGCAGATGGAGTGTCCGCTCAACAGGGCAGGGTAGGTCCCAGGACGAAGAAGAAGAACACCAGCGCTTGAAGAAGGAGATGGCTTCCACTTCGACAAAAACTTGCAAGAAGGGTTTCGATGGCGACCCTGCCTATCCCCAACAGCACAGGTAAGAGGAGGCGCCTCACAGCGCTCAGGGCCTAGCGCAGTCACAACACGAGCCAGGAAGACCCAGCTATGGAGGACAGCCCTAGCAGCATGAAGATGATGCCGCAAGTGAAATAACGCAGCATTCAGACAGCACGCGGCCTCCAGCAGCACTTCGTGGAAAAAAATGATGAGACAGAACCCGTTTTCCCTTGCCCACGACACTTGTAGACTGCTGTTTCCCTGACTCGACAGCCTACAGCCTAGGAACGACAGCCTATAGCCCAGGACCGAATCTAGACCTAAAATTGGCAAAAGAGGAGGATAGAAACGACCTACAACTCAAGGGCAGAAAGGACAAAGCAGAGAGACCTCGTGGTATTACAGCTAGCCTACAGAGACTACTCCAAATAGCGCTAGGGATCAAGCCCAGTTCGGCTCTCACACAAAAAAAAACACATCAAACAAAACAGGTCACGGTATCGAATCCCGGAGAGCTCAAAACCAGGCAACACCGGACGAAGTTAGTGTACAGCCTGCATGCCACTGCAATTCATTGCACTGCTATATAGAAAAGAAAACTCTCTCTCTCTCTCTCTCTCTCTCTCTCTCTCTCTCTCTCTCTCTCTCTCTCTCTCTCTCTCTCTCTCTCTCTCTCTCTCCACACACAGCTGTCAATCCATCTAGGATAGCCAAAAGCTTGTTTTTCTCACAAGTGAAATGGGTAAACCACGGAGCCGAATGCAGGGCAGACTGGACAAAAATTGGACAAAGACTTTGGAGGCGATGCAGACTCTGGGCGAAGAAGTCCAGAGCACAAGTATGCCTCCGAGGGAGATTGATAACTTTACCATGACAGTCTTGTTTGTTCTCCCCAAAATGTTCAAAGATGGCAGCTCGTCGGCATGCACGCCTGGACTGTCAACATAGATCCAAATTAGGAAAGCAGGTGAGTCTTTCTTGGTGAAGTCTCAGACAATTAGTAAATTACACCATTTTTGGTCGTGCTTGGTATTGAAAAGCTTGACATATGCACAGAATAACTAGGAAGCAGGGTTGCATCCCTGCCGACCGCCGACCCTGACCGCCGACCGTATTGCAGCTGACCGTATTGCAGCCGACCAGTAGGGCCGACCGGTCGGTGGTCTGCCAACCAGTCAGAAAATAACCATCCACTGATTTTCTTTCAAATCTGAGTCGGGGGCTGTACTGCGCTTGCTGAGTACAGCCCAAATCTGCTGAGAAACTTTTGGGGATGTGGGGGGGTATGGGCTGTCTCTTATACACATCTAGATGTGTATAAGAGACAGGGGCGGTTTGGGGGTGTTGGGGGGGGTGTATGGGGGTAAAGAGGGCCGCTATGGGGGTGTTGGGGGGGTGTATGGGGGTAAAGAGAGCCACTATGGGGGTGTTGGTGGTGTTATTACTAATTTATTAGGGGTTCTGGACCTCAAAAAAAAAATTATTTATTTATTTCTTTCGGGGTACCGACGACCCCCGACCGGTAGGTGCCGACCAGTCAAGGGCCACCAACCATCGGGGGGTGCAACACTGCTAGGAAGTGAAAGAGGAAAATGAAAAAGGGTACCCAAGATGGATTCAATCGATTTCAATGTTATTGATAGGAGAGCACTACAGATCTGCAAGGAGACCAGCACTGGAGATACTCAATTTACAAGCATGCTAGGCTACCAGCCGGGCCGCCCAGGCCACCTTGTTTGCCCGGGAGGCCCAGTCGTGCAAGGGCGAAAGAAGGTCCCAGCAAAACAAAAAGAAAGACAAATCTCTGCTAAAAAAAAAAAAAAAAAGAAGGTAAAGAAAACTGAACAACTTTTGCCTCAGGGTCACATCGAAATTCTTTGGAGTTTTTTTTTGTTCCCAGCTGGGCAAGTGGTCCCTGGCCACTCTGGTAGCCTAGCAAGCATGCTGAATTCTTGTATGGCGACAAGGCAATTGGCAGAAACGACAAAGCAGTGACCACGCCGGCACAATTGGATGAAAACTTTTGAAAAGCCCTCTTCCCTCCTCTCAACAATCAATATGACAACAATGATGGGGAGATTGATAAGGGAAGGACAGGGAAGGATGGGAAGAGAAGGTGAGAGAAAGGGAGTAGAAGAGGAAGGGTATGACAAGGGGAGACGAGAGCAGGGGCGGAAGGAAAAGAGGAAGGAACGAAAAGGGACGGGAAAGTCTTTTCATAACGGATGACCCTCAAACCATAATCTGTTAACATACGACGGAAATCAGGGTGGTTGGAAAAATGCACACCAAACATATCCCATACTTCTCGTTCCCACCAACCAGCTGCCGGAAATATTTTGACTACTGAACAGATGGGAGTTATTTCATCTACACGTGTATGTACCCGAAGACGTGAATGGACAAGGAAAAGAAAGGGAAGAGGGGGGTACAGCACAAATAGATGAAGGGTTTAGCGCTTATGTCATAAGGTCTCGCTATGCGAGAACAAAGAGAACCAGGGATGTAGTCGCACAGGTCTCTGAGGTGTACCTGACAAAACCGGATCATGGAATACAGGTTGTGAAGACCTGCTGCTTCAGCAAACACCATAGAGCTCTGCAGACATGGTTTGGATGCATCAAACAATGGCCACAAACCTTGATTACCACAAAAAATTATGCTTGGATTACCCTCAGGAGGATCATCAAGTTCATCTCACTATCGGAAACTTCATTATTGATGCATGCCTATCAGACTCAGTATACACTATATACCTAGGCTACCAGTCGGGCCGCCCGGGTCCTGGGTGGCCAGCCCGTGCAAGGACCAGGGAATGTCCCAGCCAAAAACAAAAAAAACAAAAAAAATCCAAAAAATCCGAAAAAAAACTATGTTATGACAGTTATGCAGAAAAAAAACCTGAACAACTCTTGCCTCAGGGTCACATCGAAATTCTTCACCAAATTTAGAATAGAAAATAAATCTTAAAATATTGTTTTTATTTTTATTTTTTTAATTTTTTTGGCCTGGCCGGGCAAGTGACCCCGGGCCACTCTGGTAGCCTAGCTATATACTATATAGGCAATGCGCAGAACCAAGGAATCACCAACATGAAGAAATACATACATACAATGTACTGGAAGACTGAAAATGAATGGTTGGACTATCAGACTCGTGACTCAACACACACATGCATCATCCTCATGTTGAACTGTGAGAAGGGAAGTGTACATAGAAGAGAGGTCCCTCCTTGCACAACACACACGTAGGGAGAAATCTACAGATGATGGAGGTGAGAGATGGAAACAAACTGTGGGAAAAGAGTCAGAAGAAAAAGGTGAAGAAAACAGTAATAATCTCTCTCTAAGTCCCACACTTGGCATCAGATGTAACATCAAGTCTGAACCTGGGGACATACCCTCCCTGAAATAGTTGCCGATCTCTGGTCTCTCTCTCTCTCGGACCACAAGTAGGAGAGAGGCCGCACTTATGGAGGGGTAGAGGAGAAGAAGAAGAACCACAACAATCTCTCTCTCTCTCTCTCTTTCTCTCTCTCTCTCTCTCTCTCTCTCTCTCTCTCTCTCTCTCTCTCTCTCTCTCTCTCTCTCTCTCTCTCTCTCTCNACACTGAGGATTACATCTGTCTCTTATACACATCCTCTCTCTCTCTCTCTCTCTCTCTCTCTCTCTCTCTCTCTCTCTCTCTCTCTCTCTCTCATATCTCCAATACTGACTGGTGAAGATGGTGTCTCATCAGTGGCAGGTCGGAGGATGAAAGGCCGGAGAGAAGACGGTGGAAGTCCAACACTATGGCACCAGGTAAGTATTCCGCTGCTCTCCAATGCCGCTGTACACGTCTCTCTCTGCAGTCTCTGAGTTTTCGTTTTGATTGCAATATCAAGTCAATCTGTTCCGAAATTAAGGATCAAATAATTTCACCCCAGAGATCCAGCGTTGATGACATTTGGCATCTGAGTAACGCAACATCATTTTTCTTAGTCCAAAAATTAGTACCTAAACCAATCATCATATCTTTAGCCAAGTATCCTACAGAAAAACTTCCAGAAGCCAAAAATAGTAAAGGGATTGCCATAAGAGTAGGAGCATCCTGACATCTCTAGGTATCTTGCTTAAAAGCATAGGCTACCACCATCGTGACTCCTAGCACTAATGCTGAAACAGTGCTGCTCTCCAGCAGCTTGTCTGGTACGCATCTGGCCACGGCTCCATCCGTTGACCTCTTGCCTGGTACTGGACACTTCTTTTTCCTTATTTCTGATATTCCATCGGTGAGGAGGTCAAGATGAACTAGCAATATACCAAGAGGAAGCAACCCATTGTTAGGTTGGTTGCTTGGCTTCATTCTATATTCAGGGGAGCAGCAACATGGCTCGCCTTCAATCTCTTTCACATTGATTGAGGATTTTCAGAGTCGGACTATAAATTCACCTCGAAGCATTGGTGCACACTGGGTTGTCACCATATCCAGAACAACCCAGCATCGGGGACTTGCCAGCACCTCCAAGGCTCTGGCTACGGCCACTGCATACCTTCAACCAAAGTCTCCCCATGCCAGGGTGTCCTTCTTGCAAGAGGCAGAAGCAGGTGAGTAACATCAGCGCAGGAGGGGAATGGCGGGACCCCTGGACATGTGGTCAGGAATCATTTGACACACTGCCATCTGCAAGTTTTTGTAAAAAGACGCAATCAAGACATACACCCTAGCAGGAGAGGATAACAAAGAGGGAACACTATATAAACCCCCCAGAAACTCACTGACCTGTCGAGGGAGATCAGCGCAGCGATAAAATAGCACACATCGAGAAGGAAGACCGTCTCGACCAGCTCGACCACTTTCCTGGCACAGAGTGGAAAACCGACACAAGAGTAGCATCAACAAGTTGAGGAAGAGAGCATGAAGACTTGTTGAAAGCAGAACAACCAGAAACTCGGACCGCCTCGACCACTGTGACTCCTTTGAGGCACGGAGAGGAAAAGCGACGGCGGAGCAGCACTAAGAAGTTTAGAAAGCCTAGCTCAGTTGGTACACCCATCAACTGTTGAAATACAGCCCTGCGTACGAATCCACATGGAACAAGATGACTTTTTGAAAGAAGTTTAGAAAGCGAGCATGACGACTTGTCCAAAAAGAAGAACAAACAGAAGCTCATGCAACAGGCGTTACCAGAAGCATCAACAACTTTGAGAATGCGCAAAAGACAATTTGTTGAAAGAAGGATATACCGAAATTTGGAAAACAGAGTGTATTAGATGAACGTGATTGGTGGAGCAAGACCAAGTGTGAACGTTTCCCACCCGCTGCGCCATCAAGGCCCAAATTCACAGAACCACAAAAGAAAAGCAGCCACTCAGCTGATTGGTGCATTTCCACATTCTCAGTCTTCCTCTTTATTCTACGGAATTTTAACCTGTCGTGGGAAGAGAATGAGAAAGTCAAATCAGGTCAAACACATGGCATAAGGATGATGCACACAGAGGATGAAATAGTTCAGAGTTCAAGAAGACAAGACAAAAGTCAAATGAGTCACTGCAGGCTCGCCCTATGGACCACGGATGAGTTATTAAAAACTCATATAAGAACAGATGCTACGGTTTATCTTAGCCAGAAAGGCCGACAGAAGTATCGCTCGGCGAGTGTTTTAGTAACTTTTTAGTAGTTTTTACTATTTTCATGACGAATTATTTATGAATCATCATGGCTACATCGACTTCCATGGGACCTGGGCTCCCACCTTCAGCAGAACATCCAGCTCACAAAGAAACTACTAACATTTGGCAAACGCATACGTTCGCCCTCGCAATGATGAAAAGTGCAGCGGAATGCGATACTCAATGCGAAGTGCAGAATCCGTGAGCCACGGTGCCCAAGGCTTCTGCCAAGGGCACACCCGCTTGACCATTTAAAAAGACAAAGAAACTACTACATCCAATTCTACGCACCTGGTAGTATGATTCGACAGATTTGCTGATTGTGTGATGAATAACAAATCTCACTGCATCCATAGAAATACACACAACATGCGGGTGAGAAGTGCAAGCAGAAAGTGTGGCGTAAGATGATAAGACTGCCCGAAGACAAAGAGTGTGTAAAACTGTGTAACATTTTCTGAAAAAGAAACCAGTGGGACCACTACCACTGGAGAATAGCATTCAAAAAAGCACACTATAAAAAAAAAGTGAGACTACTTTTCACGGAGGTCCTGAATGTGCACGAATGCCACACAGAAATCAAGCCAGAGCCCGCCATGAGCCGTCCCGCCGCGCCCCACCCATCAGCCTCAACATTCTCTCTCTCTCTCTCTCTCTCTCTCTCTCTCTCTCTCTCTCTCTCTCTCTCTCTCTCTCTCACTCTCTCTCTCTCTCTCTCTCTCTCTCCCCCCCCCACACACACACACACACACACACATACACAGCAGTCCTAAATCTCGACATTGTCTCTCTCTCTCTCTCTCTCTCTCTCTCTCTCTCTCTCTCTCTCTCTCTCTCTCTCTCTCTCTCTTTTGATTATTCGCCCAAGCCTCCTGCCCTCCTCCATCCCTTCCTCGCACCCTCTTTCATTCATTCCTTATTTCCATCATCCATCTCTCCCCCGTTCCTTCCTTCCTGGTTTCCCTCCTGCCTCCCTCCCTCCCTCTTTCCTTCCTTTCTTCCTTCATGCATTCACTCATCCATCCATCTGTCTGACTCATCCTCCATGTCCTACCTCAACCCCTTGCCATTTGCTGTACGTGCATTTTGGACTTCCATTCCCTTCTTTCTTCCCCTTCTTCTTCCAACACACTGGTTTCGAGTTGACCATCCACTCTCTGCAGCTTTGTGATACACAGAACAGGCAAAGAATGGTCAGAGCATCTCACCATCTGGTTTGTTAATGCCCATCCCAAAAGCGACCTGCGTGAAAAAAAATTCAAATTGAAACAAAACAAAACAAAACAAAAAAAAATTACAGAACCGCTTTTGAACAGTAGTGAATTCAAGGCATACAGACCACCGTAGGAGTAAAGGTATGCAGCTGTCATCTTTTCCCCGTTTGTTTCTTTCCAGGCCGTAAGGAAATCATAAGCCAAAATGCAGCAGATCATCTGCAAGACATATGAAATGAAGAATCATAATTTGGACCAATCATGATTACAGCCAGGGAAATAAACAATCGCGATCTTGACCTTTTTTCCAGAATCTGTTAATATTACTTTGCTGAAAAACAGGTCCAGCATCCCTTACATATGTACTCGCTCAACGCTTCTCCGCCTTACGGCTGAGAGATCCTGAGAAAGCGGTATGGATTACTTCCTTGTGTTGGAAAGATTTACCTCTGTGAGTGAGGTGCAATCAGACTCGCTTTCACTCCCACTTCACATACATGCAAACAGATGGGGATTCACACTGGCGCAGGGCGCCCACTCAAAGCTTAGAGATATGGAAATCAAGAACACAGTTCAGATGCAAGTTCACTTCAACAGGCTATGGCGCATCGGCGCCTGAACATCCCAACCTTCGTCACTGTGTCCAACCCCACTGCTCACACAYGCYCACTCTGGATCACCCTGAATACCACCACACACACACGCTTAGTCTTACTTCCTCCTACAGCGGCTATGGCCGCACTACCACTACTGACTATGGCTACGATCTCCCTTCAGCCCACTTCGTCTTCRGGCAACCWGCAGACCACCTTCGCACAAGACGCTGTAGCAGCGCTTCCGCATGGCTTACGCAGCGAATGAAAATGAATGGCTGGACGCTGCTTCCTGATTTATACTTCTGTTCGTGGCTGGTCTGCCCTTTTCCACCGGGCCCTTGGTGCACACAGTCCCACATGGTACTTGCTGACTGGACWAGGGGAGACTGGGACWGGGTACCGCTGACTGCATGGGATGGTACCGCYGACTCAGTGCAGTCGCACTGCTGACTCGGTGCAGTGGGTTTACCACTTGCCCACTTGCCTCTGGTCTGGTGTGGGCAATCTTCGAAAGGCCACTTCCGGACCTTCCGGAAGGCTGTGGACTTGGCCTTTCGAAACTGTAGCAGCTTYGACCWTGACCCTTCAKGACTCCTACAGYTACGACCTCTACTATAAACTTTGACCCCTACGCGACAGATCTACGGTTCAAGACCCGACGGACACACAGGTCTACGACAGACTACTACTGGCTCCTAAAACACAGGTTACAGGTTCAAACACACACAGGGGTACTGTACACAGGTAGTGAGGTCTAGGGATCGAGCCCTAGGATCTACATCCACTACTGAAAAAGGGTGAAAACCGTTTCACTCCCGCCGGCCTAAATTCAAGGTCCTCCGAGAATATTTCAGTCCAAGGCAGGACGTTTACCTTTTTTGTCTCTCTCATAAGCGCGAACTATATCGGGAGCGGTCTCTAGAAGTTCTGTTCGTGTGTACCAGCGGTCGTCTTCTGGTTCCTGAAAGGAGAATCGGACTTTGTACTGGCTCTGTGGACGACCCCTACCTCCAGTTCTAAGGACATCTTCCTCTACTATGCGATCAATGTCGTACCTGCCATCCATATCCGGAGGGTTCATGGATATTCGTGATGGGAACTGATCACTTGTATTGCAGGGCAACAACTTCGACGCATGGAAAACTGTATAGGTGCGGAGGTGTGCTGGAATCTCTATCGTGTAGGACGGTCCATCCTCTCCGCCCTTGACTTCTAGGACTGGCCACGGTCCTCTGTACGCTGCAGTAGCTTCTGTGCGATGTTCTCCTCAGGAGCAAATTCTTTAGATTTGACCCAGACTAAGTCGCCTACTTGAAACTGCGACGGGCGACGGTGCTTGTTGGCTTGCTCTATCATCCTATGCTGGGCCTTCCTGAGGTTCTCTACAACGGTAGCTAACTCTTTCTCGTGCTGTAACACAAACTCCCTAGTACCGGGTGGTAGCCTCTGGATCTGGTCCCGGTTAAGTCTTCAAATGGTCTACGTGGTCTGAGAGACTTATGCAACTCATTGGGAGTGCGACAAGTGGCTAAATGCACGCTGTTGTTATATGCACTGGCTACCATTGGGAGCATCTCATCCCAGTTAACTTGATCAGGTCTAATATACATCCTCAGAACTTGCTGCAGGATCTTATTCATTTGTTCAGTCTGACCGTTAGTCTCTGGATGACGGCCAGACGACATCAACAACTTGGAGCCATAGACTCTCATCAACTCCTGCCAGTTCTGACTGGTGAACCGGGTGTCTCTATCACTAACTATAGACAGCGGAATCCCGTGTTCACTGACCCAATGATCAAAGAATTTCTGGATTACTAATTCCACGCGTGCCTCCGCAGGCAAACGAACAAAAACTGCATACTTGCTAAATCTATCAACTATAACCATGACTTGGCTCTTGCCGTGCCTACTCTTGACATGGGTGTCCATAAAGTCAATGGACACTGAGTCCCCCGGCTGGTCAGGAATAGGCAAGGGCCTGAGACGACCTAGAGGGGCACGTGTAGAGGTCTTGTTTCTCTGGCAGACCTTACAACTGCGAACATACTCTATGCAGTCGGCCTTCATCCCAGGCCATATGTACGCGCGCATGAGGTTGGCTAGAGTCTTTTGCCAACCAAAATGTCCCTCGGTGTCGTGGCATTCCCCTAGAATCAGACTACGAATTTCCTCACTGTTAGGAACGCACAATCGGTCAACTACGTTAGTCTTCTCAAATAGCAGCCCATCAGTAGTGCGGTAGTCTGGTTCAGACTCTGGTGCCTTCTTTAGTCTCTTGAGGAGGTCACTATAGATAGGGTCCTGCGCAAACTTTTTGTTGCAGGTCTCTCCCTATATCCATATAATGAACTACCGCTCCAAAGTAGTCAGCTCTCCTACTCAGAGCGTTCGCAACTACATTATACTTCCCTTTTACTGGCTTCAGCTCAAAATCATACTGATCTAACTCTGCGGCCCACCTAGTAAGCTTAGGTGTCATCTTGGCCCGAGTCTTCAGCCACCTTACCGTCTCGTGGTCTGAATAGACTTTGAAGTGCCTCTCAGGCAAGTAGCGCTTTCAGTGTTCTAGTGCCTGCCTGAGAGCGTAGAGTTCTCTTTCGTAGGTGGACGTCGCTACCTTCTCTGAAGGCATCCTAGCAGACATGAACTCTACGGGTCTATATCCATTGCCATCGTCTTGCTGTAATACAACACCTATACCATACTGGCTCGTGTCCGTGGTGACGACGAAAGGTAAGGACGGATCGGCTACCTTAAGGACTGGGTACTCTATCAATGCCTGCTTAAGTTTCTTCATGGCAGACGTTCAGTCCTTGTCCCACTTCCAGATTGTTTCTTTCTTCAACAACCTGCAAAGGGGTGCAACGATGGTGGAAAAGTTTCTCACAAACTTCCTGTAATAATTAGCTAGGCCTAAGAACGACCGCAACTCCGTCAACGTGAGGGGCGTAGGCCAATCTCTAATCGCTGCAATCTTGCTATCTTCTGGCTTAATGCCGTCTCCGTCTAAGACATGGCCTAGATACAAAACTTGGGTCTTTGCCCATTCGCACTTCTTGGCATTGATCTTGACGTTGGCCTCTCTCAGGTTCTCCAAGACCTACCTCAAATGACCCTCATGCTCTTGGAGGGTCCTACTGAACACTAGAATATCATCTACATAGACTACTACAAACATGTCTAACTACGGCCTAAACAAGTCATTCATACAACACTGAAAAGTTGCTGGCACGTTGGTTAGTCCAATGGGCATAACTATAAACTCGTAGTGCCCATATCTAGTCCGGAACGTGGTCTTATACTGATCATCAGGATGGACCTCTATCTGATGATATCCGGACTTCATATCTATCTTTGAAAAATACTTGCAACCTTACACCCGATCTAAAAGATCATCTATATGGGGCAGTGGCTCCACATTCTTCATGGTAATAGCATTAAGACCCCTATAGTGAATGCACATTCTAAACTCTCCCTCCTTCTTGGGGACAAATAGAACAGGTACTCCAAATGGAGACGAACTGGGCCTAATCCAACCCTTCTCTAGGAGTTCATCTAACTGCTTGCGCAGCTCCTCCAACTCCCGCGGGGACATCCTATACGCTGCTCCTTTAGGAGTCCTACTGCCAGGCTCTATCTCAATGCGATGCTGGATGGGTCGTGGAACTACCCCTGTAGGCGGCTTAGCTAAACCTGTGTACTCTCCCAGCAGCTTGGCAATAGCGGGATCTATGGGCTTTTCCTCGTTAGGCTCAGTAACTCGCCTAACATAGA